TCTTTCCAAAGATAGACCCATAGTTGAAGCAAATCATTGTTTTTGCAAAATTGCATCATTTCACTGACGCATTCTTTTCAAATTTCGTTTGAATTTGTAGTAAAAGTGCCATCAAGTTTGGGTGGCAGCATGTGACGAGTTAAATGATTTTCAACAAGCTTGACTACAGTTTTTCATAATTTCAAGGGACAAAATATAGAATTTGAATTATTTGTAACTCCCCAATTAGGATCTATCATAGAACATGCTTAATGCGCAAGTTTTGGATTATATGAATATTATATATTTTTTTTATTAGACGCTAATCAATTTTTAATTGCCCAATGTACATGCCAAATACATAATTGTAAATGCGCCTTGGGCCATATGGCTTGTGCTGCATTGATTTAGGAAAAATCCTTGTCTGTAAGGATAAAAGAAAAATTTTTTAATGCTGTTCTTTCAAAGCTTTCATCCATTGGAAAAGAATTTCAGTTATATTTCGATTTCTCCCAGCTGTAATAAGAAGATAACTAAGAGGAAACCCAGTACTGTCAATTATACCAATAACAGAATATAGTTCACAGGCCAAACTATTCATACCATATGTCGCATCAATTGCAATTGCGTCAAATTTATTATAAATCAACCTATTAAATAATAATGTTAAGAACCCAAGTGCTGGTGTAGAAGAATTAAGATTATCTACAATAATTTCTTGGTTAAGTTCTTCTAACAAATGCTTAGCTGACAATAAAGGATCAGAATCTCGACAATATTTTTTGCGAGATTCGATCGACCACCAGTAATAAGTTTGTTGTACCGTTAAATTTTCATATCCTTTAATAAAATTTTCTCGAATTTGACGCCAGATTTCAGGTACAGGAAATTCAATATTATCCTTAATAAAAGTTTTAACTTCAAGTGTCGTTGCAACATGTCTTGGTCGTGGATGTAATGCTTTGTGAGAATAAACGATTTTAATTAAATCCAAAGTTGAAAAAATCTCAATATTTACTGTCCCTTCACAATTGTATTATTCTAAATAAGTAGGTATATCCCTTTGCTTATCTAATTCAAGATGTTTCACTTGTCGTTTTCCAAGTTCAATCTGGCAATTGCAGTAATAGATTACAAGGAAAGACTTTTTATTTTGGTTTTTAGTACGATACATCTACTAATAACCATCTCCTTCAGAAATATAAACAATTATACGGTGGCTAATTTCAAAGTCAATATTTTCTTTTTGCAATTCCTCATCCGAAATTGCATCAAGAAGAGATGACAACTCAACATTAA